AACAGGGAAAGAGAGATGGACAACCCCATTTAACCCACCCATTTTACTTTCCAATACATTACAATTCCAATCTGAATCCAATTCAAATTCAAATCCAAATTAAATTAAATTAAACACAACACATCACAAACTTCCTAGCCACAAAAATTGTAATAATCAAATCATAAATCACATTCACCAAACCTGAACCTCTCCACAAGTCCACATACTAATCTTCCCCCCCTAAACACACTATTGGCCCCGGTTCCACGGATCCCCCGACCCAGAAAGCAGCAACATTGGTCCTTGCTCCTCCTTACCCCGTTGACTTCTACAATATCCATGGACAACACACAGCAGCTGCCGTGTTCATTGGCCGGAAGGCTATTTTTGGGTTTCCATCGTCTGGTTTTGTTCATGTTGATTATCATGGAGGTTTACCGGGTTGGGTTTGGTCTGGGCTCGCTTGGCTGCGGTTTTCTTTTTTCTTTTTCTTTTTTCTCGTGAGGAGTCGAGGACGTGTTTTAAGTAATTTCTTGATTGAGAGTGAGAGAGATAAGTACTAGTGGGGTTCGGCTTGGTTCCAATGGCTCGGTAAATTGGGCCTTCGTCAGTGAGTGACTCTACGTAGTAGATAATGTAGAGTCTGGAGAGTCTGGATTTTTCCTTCGCGTTTCTTGGCTGGCTTGGCTTGTGTAACGGTCAGTTGACTAGTACTTTTGTTGTTTCTTGCTTGGGGTTGTTAGACGAGGTCTAGATAGAAGTAGAGATTCAGAGGTAAAAGACTTTTAAGTGGGTATGTATCATGACAGGTGTTTAGGTTAGGTAGGTAGGTAGGTAGGTAGTCAGTGGATGTCTGTGTGTATGTGGACACCCACTCATCATATTATAGTAGTTGTTTGTGGTCAGTTGAATAATGTATCGAGTACTGTATCTCATCATCCCTCGTGTCTATTATACATTCCTGAACGCCCGTCCGTCCGTCCATTCACCCATCCAGCCAGCCAGCCTTTTTTGTTCTCTTTTTTATCTTTGGTTTGTTTGTTTCCTGGTTATAATAATAATGTACATTGGAGTTACCCGTCTGGGCCGGTGGCTTCGCCCATTTCGGTGTCTTCCGGTTCCGGTTCCGGGTTGTCTTTGTGTCCGTTCGGTTGCTCGAGGTTGTGGTCGTGGTCGTGGTTTGCTTCTGGTTGGCCGTTAGGTTTCTCGACTTCCATGACCCCATTCAATTGGCCCATGTCTCCATTCACTCCGTCTCCATTTATTTGGGGAGGTGTGTTGATGGTGGAGGTGTTAGTGGTGTTGTCTGCTGCTTCTGCATCCACTTCCTCCCATACCCGCACGGTCCCGTCTAACCCGCAGCTCACCATTAGTCGCGACTCCTCCAGCGTGCATGTGTCCACTCCCAGCACCACCCCGTTATGGCCCTCCAGACGTTGCAGCACTTGCTTGCTGACCACGTCCCAGCACAGCACGGCTCCGTCCTCGCTGCCGCTGACGACGAACGCATACCGCGGTCCGCCCCGCTCCCCATATACCCCGAATCCGCCCTGCAGACTGTATTTCACATTGCCATGACCCTGGTACGTCTTGATGCACCGCCCCTCGACGTAGTCCCACAGTCGCACGCAGTCGTCCAGCGTCCACGCCAACACGTACTTGCCATTCGGGGAGAATTTCACCGCCGTCACGGGCGGGTTGTCTTCGTGCACCAGCGTCCGCAGACACTGGCCTGTCGCGGTGTCCCAGATCCGAATCAATCCGTCCGTTGCGCACGAGGCAATGAGGGTGCCGTCCCAGACGACGTCAATGCCTCCGACCGGGTCGGAGTGTGCGGGCAGCGACCGCATCACTCGTGCTGATCGCACATCCCATAAAAATACCGCTTCATCGTAGGATCCGCTCACGAGCATATTGCCTTTGGGCGAAAATGCAATCTGGTAGACGTAGTTGTGGTGGCCGACGAAGGGGATCGGATGTGCCTTGCCCTGTTGCGAGTTATTAGTTTCCGACGCATATCACCCAACGCTATTTTACAACATGTGAAACCCACCGTCAATACATTCCATAGGCGAATAGTCTTGTCATCTGATCCCGACGCAATGGTCGCTCCGTCCGGACTCCACGAGATGGTCGAAATGCCTGCCAGATGGCCCTCGAACGTATGGATCAACCGACCCGTCACTGTGTCCCATACCTTGACAGCTCCATCCGCCCCTAGCAGAACAGTCAGCGAACCAATTGATACAAAGGAAAGTTGGGAAGAAGGGAGGGGAGCATAAAGGAACACGCACCTCCGCTAGCGATCATCGAAGAGTCCGGCGAGAACCGTACTGCCGAGACTCCTCGAATATGACCTCGTAGTAAATACTTCTGATGATAAGTCACTTTGTCCGGTTTGGGCGGTGGTGGTGGTGGCTGCGGCACCGGGGTGGGCGACCGTTCGCCAAACGACTGATCAACAGCTACATCACCGTCGGCAGCGGTTGCGGTCTCTTCGACATCGCCCTCGGCGCCGCCGTCTTCCTGCTCCGGATCAATTTCGGGGTCGAACTCAGGCTCGGGGGCACCGTTTCCCTCCTCTTCTTCCGCTTCGTCGTGGTCGTGATCAAGATATCGCTCCGAGGACGGCTCCGCGCTCGGCTCGGAGGGCGAGGACGGACTGCGACCGCGGTTCCTCGCCGACCAGTACTCCTTCGCGTCGACAGCGAGCTCATCGGGGCTCTCGGAGCCGCTGAAGCTGCGCGAGCGACGGTATGGGCGCTGTGGGGGATATGCCTTCTGGATGGACCAGCTGGCGCGGCGGCGTTCGGCCTCGTCGTGGTCGGAGCCCGCGGCCAGCTCGTCGGACGAGGATTCTACAGGCGAATGGATGAAGCCATTCTGGGGCTTGGGAGTGGTATCAAGGCGACGGCGCTTGGATCGATGCATAGAGCCATCCATGGGAAGGCAGGAAAAAGGCGCGAAAGAACTGTGGGAAATCAGGGAGAGGGAGGGAGAAAAAGCAGAAAAGCAGCGATCGCGATGATTTCTTTCATCGCCGCGACTTTCATCCCTCGTGACAATCAGTCGCTTTCAGGAAGGCGGTGAATTGACTTCCCCATAATGCTCCTCAAGGCGGTGAGGCCCATGATTTCATCGCTTTTCATTCTTTGGCTTCATCTCCACCTCATCTATATTCCCCCCTATACCTCTTAATCATCCTATAATCATCTTGTTTTGTTCTATCAATCACTTCTCTATTCTTCCCTTCTATCTTTATTTTACCCTCCGGTATGCTCTCCTAATTCAATCAACCAACCAACCAATCAATCAATCATCCCACAATGTCCACCACCTCCGATCCCCCCTCCTCCTCCCCCTCAACCCCCACTCACATCCGCATCTTCACCTTAAACTGCTGGGGTCTCAAATACATCGCCAAACACCGACACGCACGTCTTGCCGAAATTGGTCGCCAGCTCGCCATAGCCTCCCCACCGCCCGAAATCGTCGGTCTTCAAGAATGCTGGACACAACAAGACTACGAATCCATCCGTCAGCAAACCCGTCACATCCTCCCCTACGGCAAGTTCTACTTCGGCGGTATCTGGGGCGCCGGTCTGGCCATTCTCTCCAAATGGCCCATCGAAGAAAGTAGCATGTTCGCATACCCGCTCAATGGGCGTCCCACGGCCTTCTTCCGCGGCGACTGGTACGTCGGGAAGGGCGTGGCATGTGCGCGCGTCCGTTTCGGACCTGGAGTCCAAGACGTCGCGGAGGTGTTCTGCACGCATCTTCACGCCCCCTACGAGCGAGAACCCAACGATTCATACATCTGTCATCGAACGGCGCAGGCGTGGGAAATCGCGAAACTAATGCGCGGGGCCGCGGAGCGCGGACATTTGGTTATTGGTCTGGGCGACTTCAACATGCTGCCATCGTCATTCGCCCATCAATTGATCCAGGCTCACAGCCCCGTCCGGGATGCATGGCAGGTCCTGCATCCCGATTCGTCGGTCGGGGCGGCCATTGACCCCGTCGAGCAGAAACGGGGTAAGCCCATACCTTCAGCGGAGTACAATATTACCGAGAACGGCGCCACCTGCGATGGGAAATTCAATACCTGGCGTTGGTCCAAAGAGGACCAGAAGCGCCTCGAGAAAGGCCAAGACATCGTGGTTGATAAAGATGCCCCATGCCCCAAAGGCAAACGCCTCGATTACATCTTCGTCGGAGACGGCAACTACCCCCCATTATACCCGGCACCGCGCTGGTCCGTCGAATCCACCCGACTCTCAATGACAGAGCGCCACCCTACTCTCCGCTGCTCCCTGAGCGACCACTTCGCCGTCGAGGCTGTAATCACTCGCGTCCCGTCAGAGAAAGTCGACAACGACACCACAATTAGCCACCTATCCCCAGTCCCCAACACTGCTCTCACGCCCGATACCTACGACCGCATCATCGACATGATCCACACCTATGTGCGCCGCGAACGGTCTCAGCGACGCTGGCGCGTAGCGCATTTCCTAGCCTCGGTGATTATATCCATCGGCTGCTTCATCGGAGTGTGGTGGACAGGCGACCATCTACCTTATGTAGCGTTCATTTTGGTCCTTGTGAGCACGTTGAGCTTTGGAGCCGGGATTCTGGATGGGTTGATTGGGGGGTTGTTTATGTCGAGTGAGTTGCGCGCGTTGAAGGAGTTTGAGTGGGAGGTGAGGAATGCGAAGATGATTGCTGAGGCGGTCGGGGGCAAGGGGGAGAAGGTGGAGTAGGTGCTCTCTGGGAATTTTGGGTACATGTACTTTTGTTCTGTGTATACGTATAGTATGTAAATTTGAGGAAGGAATGAGATGGTGTACATGCTTTCCTGGCAGTATGAGTAGGTCATGTAGCGTGCGCTTAGTGGTCCACTGTGGTTTGTTTGATTTGTGCATTTTATGCATATGCATCCTTCATACCAGGACGATAGCTTACGTATCCAAACCAGTGACTATCTACGCAGGTCTATACTACTACAAATTTCTTGAAAATTGAGATAGTGAATAGTCATATTGTGATCATAAAGAATGTCGTTAACTAGCCAGCGACGTCATCATCCTCGTGTGTTGCAATTTAGTCACCACGTGCGGAATCTTCCACATAACACATCGCATAACGAGTGAAATCAAACTCCATGTGATTTCTCACACTCAATTGAGTTGACTGAAGACAATTACTCAGCGCACTCGCGCTTACGCTCGTCAAAGATCTGCAGCGCCTCCTCAGCAGCCTTGACACCGCTCAGGACCATAGCACCGAAAGTAGGACCCATGCGGTTGAAGCCATCGATCTCCGACAGCTCCATACCACCGATGATCAAACCCTTGGTGACCTCACGGGTGTTCTTGACGATGGCGTCCTCGGCCGAGTTCATGTCCAAGCCGCGCATACCGCCCAGCTTGTCGACGCTGTTCATGGAGACGAGTCTCTTGGCCGAGAAGGCACCGAAAGGACCGTCGTGGCCGGTGGTACTGATGATCACGGGAGCGTTGATGGTGTTGGGGTCCATGCAGGAGTGGTCGTCGTGGTGGAGTGTGACCAGGGTCCAGTTCGTGACCACACCGGCAATGCGGACTTCCTTGGGGTCGCCGCTGGCAGCAGGGCGAGTGATCAGGTCCTCCACGCTGGTGGCGTTGAAGAGCTTGACGTTGGGGAAGGCGAGAACCTTGGACAACAGGGTCGAGGTGAACAACGAGGCGTGCTTGACCACAACGTAGTTGGGGTTCGCAAGGTCTTCCTCGTAGGGAACGCCCAGTTCGTTCAGGAAGACCTCGGCGGGACGACGCATGACCATGGCGGAGAAGAGCTGGCCACCAAGCCAGGCACCACCACCTATGGAGAGTCAGTACGTTGACCCATCTGGCGAACTATGTGGAGAATGATATGGAGGACGAACCAGGGGAAACATTGGCCTCGATAATGGCAATCTTCAGGTCCGGACGAGCCTTGGCCAGAACATACGCGGTGCTCAAACCGCAGGAACCAGCACCCACAATGACAATGTCACTCTCAGCGTACTTGTCCAGATCCTGGAAGTAGCGTCTGGTCATAGCACGCGAAACCTGACTCTCACGGATGGGAGCGAACTTGAAGTTGTCCCACTTGCCAGCGAAGTGGTCAAGCAGCTGGGTCTGGGACGAGCCAGTGACGGGAGCGGCCTCCGGGACCACCACGTTGGACTTGATGCCAGTGGGGACCACGGTGGGCTCGAAGATAGCAGCGGGAGGAGACATGTTGCTTTAAGGGTGTGGTAGGTGGGACTGGGAATTGTTAGCCATTCCATCAAGTGGGGGGAAACGAGGGAAGGCATGATCCTTTCGCTGGTATTATCCAGATCAAGTTTAACCGTATAATCTCAGAACGAACCTAGAGCCGATGGCAGGCAGCAATGCTAGCAATGCTGCACAACCAACGGATAGGAACGAACACCGGTCCACGCCCAAGATTTACCTGAGATACCTGATCATTGAGAGAGTCCAGCCAAAGGCATTGCATGACTTCCATCGTGTGTAATGAAGTATTGAGACGAGACCCCGGGAGGGGCCGACGCAGGTGGAATTACATTGCACGAGGGTTTCTAGGGAAGAGGTCAGTACGGTCTATACAGGGAATACAAACATGGGAGAGGATGACTTGTGATGAAAGTCGATGGAAGACTTGACAGGAAGTAGTGAAGTAGATGGAAGTTGAGTTGATGGAAGAAAGAAAGAGAGAGGAAGAAGGCAGGAGAAGCGGGGGAGGGAGGGGCAGGTATAAATACGGAGGGTATGGAGGTCACGGTACGTAATGGAGATGACACCTGCCAATTGCTTGGATTGCTTCAACGGTATGCAATTCTCCGATGTGCGGGGATCGCATCCTGCTTTTCTTCGTGGAGCTGGAGCTCTGTGATCCGTGAGGGATCCAGCGACTTGCTCCGATCCTGCCCGGCTAGGTTCAACCCGGTGAACCGATGCAGCAACCGTGTGAAGTCATGGAGGGTGACGATCATACTTCGTGGATATCCAATGCCAATTGGCTTCACCCCGATTCGCTGGCGGGTGTCCACTGTGCTAAGTAGTAATAGCTGGCTACTGTCTACAGGGGACAATTATACGATGGAGGCATGAGAGCCATGAAGCCGTAGCCCATTATGAACAACCTAAAGACGGATGAAAATAGTCTTGGTTGAAGCCGGTGATAGCCTATTTCCCCTCTCATAATCTTACTGTTTATAAGCTATGGCTGAAGCGAAAGCTTAAATTGTCTCAGCACATCACTAATGACAGTGCGTATGGGGGCTAGTACCAGGGCTAAAGTTATCCTTGCGAGACACCCGCTCCATGTGAGTCACACGGCTGATCTGGTTTCGAATCGAGGTCTACATGTAGATTAATACCTAGTTTAGTGTGCAGGATAGGATAAATCACGATTCAGATCAAGATTCACACTGTCAAACAACCATTACCGACAGCATCAATGAATCTCGCCAAGCACAACGCATAGAGTACTATATAGTATCAACCGCCACCAACAAGAACAAGGCCCCTCTGCATCGTAGATACATATATGTAAATTATTTTCAAGAACAAACAGTTCGATAAAATGCATGCAAAGTCATCATGAGCTTTTGGCACGGGTCATCAAGCCAAATCAGGATACACAACAATGCTGAAACACGGAACACAATAACTCCCAGGGACCAATATCTAAATCGTCTCCCACCCGCCGTTGTTGATGTCCGCCTCCAGCTTCCGACTGATGGTGGCTGGGATGCTGTGCGACAACCACACATCCCGAAGAAGTCGGTCGTAGCGCTTCTGGTTGAGGATCAGCTGGCGGTTGCGCCGGAGGCCCGGGTCGACCTCGCCATGTCGGTCAAGGTACGGTGCGTAGTGCCATGATCCATTGTGGTTGTGCAAGTAGAGCACAGTGCACTTGCGGATGTTGATGAACAAACCGATATTCTTGCCACATCTATTCATTGTTAGAAGAGTTCTCCAGATACTCCCCAAAGAGGGTGGGAATGGACTTACTTTTGAACGTGCTGGTTGCATCCGCCCAGCTTGTTCTCCATGCAGCATACTGCCTGCGAGCAGAAAATATCTCCACAGAAGAGACAGATGCTGGGATCGCTAAGCTCCTTCTTCGACTTGGGGCACCGCCGACGGTTGGCCTCTTCGATCAAACTGTCGTAGTACTTGGGGAGTCCAACCAGCTCGAAAATGGCTGGGTGAGGAAGGCTGGGCCACAGCTTGAGGTCGCCCATCCGGACGCCCGACCGAGTTGCATTCCAGTGAAAGATCCAGCCGGAGATCACAGCATCGAACGCCTTACCACTCTCCCGAGCCGGATTGATCGATGCAAAAATTTCGTCAACGGACGGCAGGTGAAGGATATTGGTCAGACGGTCTAGCTCGGACGCATTCGCGTCGTGAAGACCCGTGTTCGGGAACTCAACGCCGTGCTGGACATGGAGCAGGATGACCGACTTGCGCAGGAAAGTCAATGCGTAGCTGGAGATGAGACGCCTCAGCGAGATCACAACATCCGGAGTTGCACTATCCACGCCGTCCTTAACGTAGCCAGTTTCAGCAGGGAACGATGATCCCACCGCGTGGCCTACCGAGTTAGATTTCAACTCGGTGACGATCGAGTGGAAGAAGTGGCGGCTCGCTTCGTATCGCGGATCTGTCTGATCCAGGTCGGACAGATACTGGTCATCACGATGCTGCGCCAGCTCCTCCTTCAGGCCTTTCGGGCAAAGAATGTAGGTAACCGCAACCTTGACAATTTCTGCCACGTAGCACACGTGAATCAAGTGGCGAATGTCGACAGGCAGCACTGGCAGCAGGGATAGAGAGCATTCGGCCAGGAATACGAAAGTATCCTTAGCCAGTAGTGGTTCGATCTCACGCATATCGTTTACCAGTGCGCTGCCACTCAAGCAGGGATGGCCAATGAAGAGCTGACATATCTTCTGGCGATGCAGCTCTTGGAACTCATCGCCACTGTGGGTATGGGAGCCATTAGCATTGTATACGCACCCGACGGCAGCGTACGATAGGGCACTTTCAGCCAAGACTCGGAGGTGCGTCAAAGTCAGTTGAGGGATCTTATCCAGCAAAGTTGTCCCCGGCTCAGATTCAACACCGCGCTGAGAGATTTCAGTAGCAGCAATGCTGAATCCGAAACTCTGGAACAAGGAATCAGTGTGCACCAGGTCATGGGAATCTGTGGTATCAGGGTGGTGATTGAAGGTGGACGGGATGTGATTCATCCGAATAGTCTGCTTCAGTCGCTTGTAGATTTGCATGAGCACAGACATGGGGCTTCCGCTTTGCGCGGAAGTTTCTTGCAGCGGACTCGTGGTCGAGCTCTCGTCCTGTGATGGGAAGAGGCCAGGCATCGGCATCCTCGCTGGTGGCATATAGTGAGCCGTTGAGGGCAGAGACGACGACGTCGACGACTGCGACGATATGAGCTGATCAACCTTGGTTGCAAGTGGAGGAACTAAGGTCTTTGACAGGTAAGTGGTGAATAGTTCCTGGTAAGGCTGTAGCTGCATGTTGCTGTTCTCCGCAAGCACTGCGTAATTGTGTGGTTGCGAGAGGACCGACTTCAACTCCGTGTTGATGAACTCATCAAACGGTGCAGAAGTGTTCAGAGCTCCCGGGTAGGATTCTTCCTTGCCCTTCCAGATGATGGGGAGGAAGGCATTTCCTAGAGCTTTGCACAGCGGACAGACAAATTCCTTGCTCATCAGACGCTCAGGGTGATTCCTTGCGATCTGTTGCGAGTGGCGGCGCTGAGTAGCGAGGAAGTAGGCATCAAAACAGGAGTAATGCATGATGTGCCCACAACCGGTGGTAACGGGTCCACGAAGGGTGTGCGTGGCCTTGAACCCTTTACTCAGTCCAATCTTCTCGCTAATCACTTCACCACCGGTAGAGTCCAGTCGGCGGACCGTCGTGCGGTTTTCCCCTGCAACTCCAAAGGGACGAATGTGCTCCGCAGACTTATCCAAGCTCGTCGGTGTCCTAATCACTTCTCTGATCCAGTCAGGGTCGTTAATGTTTGTCAGTCGCGTGATGCTGCTGTCCTGAATCAATGCGAACGTGCCGTAGAGTCTTGAGTCATTTGTTTCCTCCTGGCAGAGAATGCAAGTACCACTAGGATACTTCCACAGTTTAGTCTCGGGAGCAGTCTCGGCTTCAGATTCAAGGTCACTAAAGTCCTCCTCTCCCCAGTCAATTGCGCCTTGACTGTTGAGGAAATTCTGCTGCTGTTGCTGGAATTGAGCCATAACCCTGGCTTGTCTTTCAAGAGCCTGCTTCTTCTTCATTTCCTTCTCATTGTCTGTGTCAATTGCAGGGGAGCTTGTGTCGACTCGATCGAACGGGAATTTAAGAGCAGCAGTTGCCGAGGCGTAGGCCTGAGGGCGCTTCTGCCAAAGTCTCTTCAGAATGTGACGGATCTTGGGCCCGCAGGCGGAGAATTCACTCATGACGGAGATCTTCTCCAGAAGACCAACTATAGTCAATGACCCAGCCAGAGTAGTTTCCTTGGCCTTATTCAGTGCGTGCGACACAAATGACGGTGAGGAGCCTCTTAGCATCTCATCCTCCTCGCTACTATCTTCAAGCGACGCCGCAAGGATAAGGTGAAGAACGACCTGGAGGAAGGTCTCCACACGAGTAGGCGGGATGTTCGGGGTACGCTCTTTCGAGGAGACAACGTAGTCCAAGCAATGGTGAACAACTTGAGCAAATACCAGCGTCCTTGTGAACTTAGGAAGTTCCGAGTACGCGCCAGAAGTGATAGGCCGCAGCTTCGGCTCAAAGACAATGTCCGATGCCTTCTTTCCAGATTTCTTGGCCACCCACTCCTTGTAGATGCTCTCTGCTTCGTCCCGCTGGTTCTTGCTGTAGTGAGCACTATAAGGATCAATCAAGTCGATATATTCCGGCTTTAGTTCGAAGGTTCCCGTATCATTCAAGCCTTCAGGAGGACGGAATCCTGCAACCTCGTCCAAAACATCCTGGAACAGATCTGAGTCAAGCAGCTTGTCACTGAGGCGTGTTGACAAGTCTGAGAAAGAAAGCGGCTTGAAGCACAGAACATGAGCGATATCGCGGCTCATGTTTTCGCGCGTTGCGGCTTCGCTGTTGTCAACGGCGGTGAGGGAGGTCCGGTCTGTGAGCAATATGACCAGCAGATGGACGAACTCCTCGGCCACATCGATTATCTGATTGTCTTCGTATCCTGGGCGTGGCGTGTAGTCTCTGGTCATCCAGTCCATCATGCCAAACCGATCTGCGATAGACGCAAGCACCCGGCTCGGGTCACAGGTCACCAGCGCGGTTTGCAGGAGGAAGATATCGCGATAGTAGGCAAAGTCGCGAGACGATACACCACGGTATTGAGACATTTGATGCCGAAGACTGAGACCATTACGCACCCACATTCCCGCTTTCATCTGCGCGAGCCAGGCGCAGACCCGGAGAGGATAATCGAACATGCAGAGGAGCAGGTCTTCAGAAGTTAGCTGACTATCGTGGATGTATTTCTCGTTTGCAGCATGAGCAGCACTCATGAGCACATCCCGCATCAGAGCACTGTTCACATTACGGCCACACTCCAGCAGCCATGACAGCGTGTAGTGCAGGGCATGGTGGAAACTCATCGAACCACTTTCAACAACAAAGTCCACAACCCGGTAACGGGGAACTCGTTGCTGATCGACTTCGAAGTCAAGGGGAGGTAAAGTCTTGAACCGCACATAATTTTTAATCTCCGCCTGATCAAATCTCTGGCGCTCAACTCCTGTAGAATGAACCATTGCAGAGATGGTTGCCGTCCGGATTGCTCGCAATAGCTTCACGCCACCATCAACCTCGGGGTTGCGGAAGGCCTCGCAGAACTGGCGACAGAGCCGATTGATCTCCCGCATGAGGATTGAGGCACTGATCCATGCGTCGGTCTCGTACTCAACATGCTCCCCCACAGCACGCACATTGGGACAGATACCCTGGGAAAGCTTGACGAGGTCCAAGAATTGAGCGAGGTAAGGTTCTTCACTCCGTACGCGGTTCTGTACATATTCTGACTGCAAGAGGTATCGTAGATCGAGGAAGAAATGGTACAGACGTCTGTTGGTCACGGAGCCGGCATCAAAAGCCAGGGTAGCGTTGGGGTTCACTTCGTAAGGTTCACCAACTTGACGCGTAGTCAGGAATGTATATAGAATGGCCATGACCTTGGTGAGGAAGTTTCCGCGTAGCACGATTTCCTCGGTGATAGAGGGCGTCGTGAGAAGCTGGAGGGAAAGATTGACTATTGAATGATCCGGTTCTCGGTCTGCAATCAGGTACAACTGCGCGAGCGCCGTATATAGAGCTGACAGGCGTAGACCCATGATTCGCTTGAACTGGGGAACATTGACGACGGTACCAATGTAGAGATCGCGCAGGTCGGTACGGGTCTTCTTCCACAATCGGAGATCGAACAAAATCATCCAGTCCAGGCGTGTACGCTGCCAGAGATCCTCGTAAGGGGGAACATGCTCCCCGAAGGCCGGGACGGAAGGTCGAACTTGCCAATGACTAGGGGTCTTTGCAGGCGATGGTTTTACCACGCCGGATGGGGTCTTGGGAATAGCAACATAGGACATGGGAGGCAGTTGGCATGGCTCATTCGAGTCAGGCTCGCGCTCTGGGGATTGCGGCAGATCTTGGTTCTCCAAAGCTGGCTGCTCTTGTTGTTCCTGTCGTTGCTCGGTGTTGGGGGACGCAGACCGCTGTGCCAGTTGGATAATGGTTTGGGCCATTTCAAGAGCGTCATCCGTGTTGCCCATTACCATATCCTCCTCATCCTCCATTTCAGCTTCTGCACGAATTCTAGCAATCTGCAGATCCATATCTTCATCCTCGTCGTCAGCATCATCATGGGTCTCAACAAATTCTTCGTCTCCATCCCCATCGCCACCTTGTTCATTATCATTGTCGATATCCTCATCGTCATCGTCGTCGTCATCGTCTGCAGCCAAAACCACCTGCCCCTGCGGGGACACCGTGAGCATAACCGTGCGGTACGGAGCATTTTCAGTCCTCTGATGGTCATCAATGCCCTTCATTCCGATATCGGCATTAGCGGCATTGCTGCGTTGTTGCCATGGACTAAGCAATGCCTCACAGATGGTGTGGCGCAGAATCTCGTTGTCATCCATGATACTGCACCCAGAGATATCTGCAAGCCATTCGACAATGGTCCCGCACATTTGCTCGCGGAACGTGTCGCGGGCAGACCGGATTGTAACTGTGACCTTAATCTGCTCGATGATTTTCGACACAGCTAGCAGCCTCTGCAGATCCTTGGAATATTTGACTACACTCCTCCCAATATCATTCGTCTCATGGGCCCTATCGTTGCCAAAACGATCCCGTTCCCGACAAGCCCGGCTGACCTGATGAGCAACATCCCGGATAGTATGTTTTTCATCGTTCCAAAGAGCAAGAGCAAACTCCGGCTCATCCTCCGGTAGATCTCCATCACCATACCAGCCGGGACGTAGCCGGGATGCTTCTTCATCCTGCCTGATCCCCTCCTCTGTCTTCGGGAGCCGCAACTGCTCAGGAGAACAAGAAATGACATCACAGAAATAATCCAGTACGCCGCTGATAGTAGTTCTAATGCTATCGACCAAGTCATGCGGGAGCTGAGTCTGAGCCCGTTGCTTGCCCTTCTTGTCCTCACTGTCGGTATGGATCGCACAGAACAGCGGTAGTCGCCATGCCTCCTCATCTCCGCAGTCACAGCAGCCGCAGTTTCCCGAAGACAAAGAAATCTGGTACTGGTGACCAGTGTGATCAGAAGCATCAAAGCAGCGACTACAGAGCACGCAGGTATCGTCCGCAGCACAGGTGATACACCGATAGGTAGCCTCGCCGGCCCTGAAAATGTGACCACATCGCTTTCCCCGCGCCGCTTCGGTATATTCTGCTCCTTCTTTCGCTCCCTGAGCTTCCGCTAGTTTCCAAACTCCTTTCGGGGGCCCCTTGGGGAAGAGTAGTCGGAGGTACTCCTCGTTGAAGCCGGTTAAAGAGTGGAAGAGCAGCTCAAGTAGGTCTTGCTCTGCATTGTATCCATATCGATAGTTGTGTGCAGCGGGGAGCCGTAGAAGGCCTTGCCCGAGTATCATCTCCTTATCCGTGAAGCCCATTTTACCGCCTTTGCGCTTTGATCGCGACACTCATCGGGCTGTCCGGACAGTGAGGGGATGGTGAGGGTCGGATGGAGTGGAAGCTCCGTGGGGCGGGCTTGGGATCTCCCAGTCTGCGATCGCTCGGCCTGTGATCGAGCGTGTAAGTGGCGGCAAGTATGTTGCAATAAGCCACGGAGGTAAAGGGCGTTGAAACCGGTCGGGATTGCTGGGGTGGTGAATCTTAAGTAAGGTTGAGGGGGTAAAAAATCTAGATCAGTTAAGAGGCTTAGTTATCGAGCGATAGCAGCGACGGCGATGTCACCGTGGGGGGGGGGAAGTAGTGGGAAGTCGGGTTTTATGGTATCCAGCGGCACGCACCAGTAGCCCGTTGATATCATGGGCGGAAATATCCTATTCCTCATTCAGATGGGACCCCTGATGGAGATATCGATCCGAAAGACAAAAGCTATGACACTGTGTTAGACAATATGTGGAAGAAAGAGGAGGTTTCCAATAGTTGGTTCGCCCATGACATCGAGCACTGCAAACACCGGGGCTTGGCGCCACCGCGATTCTCATCCACGGCCTGAGAATGCTCGATTGGCTTTTCCCCGCCCTGCTGGGCAACATTCATGTGTTGGGTGATTACTACCCTACGAGGTATAATGGCCTACATGTGAACACGAGTCTTCCTATGGACTGCTCTGGAAAAGGAAAAAGTTACAGGTTATTGCGAATCTATCTCGTACAAACACCCTGGATTATAGCACTCCTCGTTCCCGGCACTCGGCTATAGTATGACATGGGAATGGATATTTTGACCCCTCAGCACCGCTTCTATTCTTTCGTATGTGACAGGGCGAGAATTGTACCCGTATTTACTCATCGTCCTCCTCGTCGGCCTTGTTGAGGTACTGGTGCTTGATGTCCTTCCATTGGCGCTGCAGTAGTGAAACGAGCACGTTAGTATTAGCCCATGCGGGAAGGTCGTGGGAGGTAAGAAACGTACGCCGCGGTTGAAAGAATCCCAGACCTTGTTGGAAGCAGTGTCGAAGGCCCTATTCCAAGATGATTATTTAGCGATTGTCTCCCCCCGAAAGATCCCGATGACAGAAACGTACAGCTCGAAGGCGAAGGCACTGGCGAAGATGGTGGTCAGGTAGACCGCGTTACGGCGGATCAGGCCCCTGTAAGTCAATCAAAGATTCCCAATTAGCAAGACCATTCCATGACGGGCGACGATTATCGATTAAATATCCGGAGTGAAAGGGGAGACATGCTGGTAGATAGCGGAAGCGATCTGGAACGGGAACACCCTGCAGTTAGCCATTGAATTGTCACAAAACCCATACGAATAGAACACTTACGGCGCCGGCCATTGTGACGGTTATCGATAGGGATATAAAGGGGAAGGGAGCGGGGGAAACAGCGAGGCAGAGAGGATGGGCGAGATGAGGTTAAAGATTCCAGTCAGGATCGAGTTCGGTTTGGCGGCCGCGAAAAGCAACAGCGGGAATCACCGGGTCGCTGATTGGCCAGTCGGAACACCACCTGCGCAGAGCCTCCGACTGGCCGCCTGGGGATTCATCAACCTTACATCGACTCGTCCACAATTTTAATGCGCTGTCGGGTTTGATGTGTGAATAACTCTGACAACTTACACCGGGATCTAATCTCAGCGCATTCACTCTCCCACTAATTCAGGGGGAGATTTCTCATCGCCGAACTACTCGTCTGCCCCCTCAGACCACACTGACGATTTTCCATCCGGCGGACTCTCACCACCCCACCTAAAGAAAATAAAAACATGGCCTCCAACAAGCCCGGTGCGGTCAGTTCCTCCGGGATCACAACGAACGAAACCACCGGAGAACGCTACATTCCCTCGTCTGTCCGTGCCGACGGCTCCAAGCGTCGGGAGATTCGTGTCCGACCGGGATACCGCCCTCCTGAGGATGTGGAACTGTACAAGACCCGTGCGGCAGAGGCCTGGAAGAATCGCGGAAAAGGCGGGGTTCCCGGTGCCGATGGACTGAAGGACGACGAGGATACCTCGGCCAACAAGGCAGGTGGTGCAACCAACAACAAGAATGCGAAGCGTCGCGAAGCTAGAAAGAAGGCCAAGGCGACACAGGATGGTGCTACCAACGGCAAGGATGTGACTCGCATCGAGAACTGGCGTGCTGGTGCGCCCCAAGAGGCTAAGAAGCAGTCGAACGGGGACGCAAAGGACGCAGCGCAAACCGATGAGGCAGTCGATCCTGAAGCAGAGAAGGAAAAGAAGGCTCGCAATCTCAAGAAGAAGCTGAGACAGGCTCGCGACCTGCGTGACAAGAAAGCCCAGGGAGAGGCACTTCTACCCGAACAACTGGAGAAGGTGATCAAGATCCAGGAGTTAATTCGTCAGTTGGACTCCCTTGGATTCGATTCAAACGGTGAAAAGAAGGAGGCCGCTGAAGAAAAGGAGTAGAGGGAACTACCGATTCGCAAAGTAACCGTACTTCTTATTGTTAAGGTCCTACTGTGCGACTTTCTGAAGATACTCCATAACAGCCATCCCGGTCACTAGCATCTCTTAACGGCATTCATCCCGGGTCTATGGTGACTAGAATGCTGAAGCATATCAATCCATACGACAGTCGATGCAGGAGTATCAAACCAGACTTTTGGAAGCAGCTTGGCTTTCACAGCACTAGAGCCAAAGCATATCAAGATATTCGCTACATGTCCTGAGCCTCGCGGATATCTCGCCCCATCCGTGGCAGCCCTTCTCCCGACATAAGCCATCCGTGGCAGTCTACCGAGGATGGCAAAATTCGGATGAAAGCCATATACACCGTAACATCGTTACATCTTTGCTGTTTTCTAACTAGCTTCTCGCGGTACCAAATTGACATATGTGGTTTCGCTAGTATTAGCGAGACCATAACTCCTTTCTCCCCATATTGCAGACAATCACACATTTGGTATCTTACATACTATTTATAAACATCAAAAGCCCGTGTAGCTCTGTCCTAGTAATGCTGACGCTCCGTAATGTGAACATTATCGAACCGAACTGGGGAAGTACATATGCCACCTTCCAGCTCCCAGTTATGGAAGTCATGCTTGGTCCAAGGTCGACGGCCACCTCCAGGGCCAAGTCTCTTGGAGCCAACACCAAATGACGAGGCTATGTAACCTTGTCTGATGCAGTCTACTACGCCAATTCCCACAGTGCCGTACCATGCACCAGCTAAGGTGAGTCGCTTATGAAAATCACCCCGAACAGATTGCGAGAGCTCTTTCATGCGGGACAGGTGGCCAACCGTGTACTGGGGTATAGCATCGCGGAGCAACCGGGCGCGTGCCACAGACGGAGCCGTCTTGATTCCCAAGTGCCTACGAAGCAAGGCCTGGGCCATCTCAACTGCTTTATCAGGGTCGGGATAGTCGGACTCGCTCCAGCCGTCCCACAAATGGCCACCCATCATCACGGTGAGCTTTGTGCCGGGTGCAGTGTCCTGTCCTTCGCTAGATTGGGACCCAAAGATAACTCCCAAGGCCCGCTCGGGGTTCTCTTCAAACGGAATCGAGCTAGGTAGCAGGTATCCGAACCCTTGAACTGGAACCAGGTCTGGATCCTCGTAATATAGATTGACCACCATGACAGTCACTGCGTAGTTGTTCTGTCCCAGGGCGCGGAGTGTATCAGAAGGTGCGACACCCACCTTTGTGTTTTCTAACTGTCGGGCGAGACTCGAGGGCGCGTGGGTGGCGATTACACGGTTATGAGTCTTCGACTCATTTTCCCCGAACCCGATCTATACTCATGTCAGCCTTCCAATCCATCGGGTTTGGTAAAAGTTGATAGATCTAAGCTTCCACTCACAGTCAAGTCCCGAGTTTCCGGATTCTGGCTAAGAGATGTCACTTCTGTTCCCGACACAACTTCCACGTTATTGGAACTCCTAAGCTGGGCAGCCATAGCATCTGTTAATTGTCCCAAGCCGTTCTTCAACGTAAGAACGCTAGCATCTGAGACCACCGCCCGCAGACTCTTCCAGTATCGATCATCCTTGTGGGATGGGACCGCGACCGATTCCAATGCCAGGAACTCATCCATTGGCATAGCACGCAGTTCTGACGCCCTCTGGGTCATCATGCCGTCCACTATAGACCCATATCTCTTTTCAAGTTCTCGTACATAACCAATGGCCATATCTGCACTCAGCCGGTTCACATCTCCCGCAAAAATGCCAGCCATGACCGCAGAAGCAAGGTTCTCCGACATCTTTGGGGAAAACCGACGCGAAACAAAATCCGCGACCGATTCGTCACGGGAGAGGACATCGCCATCTACAGCTCTTTTTGGCTTCTCGAATAAAGCGCTCTGTAGAAAGGTCTCGAACAAGGGCTCCATCAAGAGTGTCCAGGCTGTCTTAAGCAATCCCTCCGTGGGCGGAAATGGCAGGCGCACGAGATGATCGGGGTAGTAGATGTAACGGTTTTGGGCCGCGGGCGATTTCTTGTCGCAGATCAGAACATCATCCAGTAAGTCCAAATTCATTATCTGCAGCGTCGAGCCAGTTTTGTTAGCCATAGGCGATTCCCCGGCGTGCTTCAATCAAAGGTATGGGAGTCCTGGCTCACCAAATCCATCATGGGAAGGCACGAGGGAGCACTCGTCCTCAGGGTCCGCGGACCATATTCAAAGACGACATGTCCCCCGCGGACGGGGATCTGCTCGGATGAGAGCCAGCCTCCCAAGTGGGAGGACTTCTCATAAAGCGTGACTTTGGAGCACGACGGGTCGCGCGATAGTTGGTAGGCTGCTGTGAGACCGGTGATGCCACCGCCTATGACCGCAGCGTCGAACTGTTTGGTATGCAGAGCGTGCCTCTGGCCCCTGCGGAGAGCCAATGGCGCTCGCACTTGCCGGAACACACGGCTAGAAGCACATGGTAACCGCATGTTAGCGATAATGAGAGACACTGGGATCAGCAGCCAAGTGCCCAGGGTGCTCAACAGGGTGGAGGAAGCGGAAGAGCTGCGGAGCGGAAGGGCCGCTAGTAGAAGCTCCGATGGCCGACCGCAGTAAGAGTTGATTGACGACCGGCATATGCTCTCCAGTTACTCGGTTACTACGAAGGTCCCCAACGACAAGACCACTATTACAAGGCTAGGAAGTACCGACTGACTAGGTCATGCACAGCATAAGCAATCTCATGATATCCAGATTCTATTTACAAAGCCACCGTAAGTATTCTTTACTGCCATTGCCATGACCATAACATAAAGTATATCGAAATTGAACGCCCTCCCAAGTAAGCACCCGCGCGCACACAAAATAATACATGAGATCTCTCCGGCATCATATGGGGAATTGGACAATGTGGAAATCATCAAAAGAAACGTGGTCAAGTCGATCCAACGCATGAGTCTATGTCGCGATCTCCTGACTCTGAGAACCTTCCCCAGTCGTATCAGGCTTGATCAACTCTTCTGTCCCCTCCTCCTCTGCAACAAACTTCCGTTCACTCACATGCTCTTTCGATCCAGGCGTCCACACCTTGTCGGAGAAGGCACCCTTTTGGCCCTCGGCGTGCTTGTAAGGGCAGCTCGGGTTGAGACAAGGTGTGAACTTGCATGGAGTTTGAATATGAGTGAACTTGCAGCCTTCCTGGGAGCAATCGGCTCCATTCCGACAGAGAGGCATGCTGGGGTGCTTGAAGTGACAATGAGGGTTGGCGCAGTTGGGGAAGAATCTGCAGAGCTCCTCCGCCTGATGTGCCGACTTAACGGCAGGCGAGGGATGGCGACCGGTACACTTGCGGTTCTTACAAGCAGCCCCGTAGGTGCAAATATCTGAAACATCGACCGGGGAACCTTCAGGGGCGGCGGGCGACTGGTGTGCAAACGGGCAGTCCTTCCTGGTGCACCGGAGGTTGAATCGACAGACATTGTTGGTATTGCTTTCATCCTGACCTCCTTCCTGACCAGCCTGGTCAGGTTTCGTATCCATGTCAACGTCTCCAGACTGTTCGTGATTGTTGTTGTGACGCTGGCCGCGGTGCCGATGGCCATGCTGGCGTTCGACTCGATCAAACAAGGAGCGGCCCTGTTGAGAGCCATTTTGCTGGAAGGCCGGGTTGATTGCCGGAGGGACAAAACCAGGCATAATCTGCGCCATCATACGAGCTTGCTCCTCGAGCAGAGACATGAGGTGCATCTGATCCGACTGAGTCATGTTCATCATGCCGCCCATATTCATTCCACCCATCTGACGGCCACCGGGCATTCTGCCGCCTCCATTCTGATTGAAACGGCCCTTTCCGTGCTCGCGCCCGTGGGAGTTGACCCGTCCACCGCCAGCTTGACCGCGGACACGATGTAGAGCCGAGTCCCCACGATCCATCGAGCGATTTATTTGATTGAGCATTCTACCACGTCCACCACCACGACCATTGCGCATAGCCTTCGGTCCCGTCGGTCTAAAAGAATGAGAAATTAGTTTTATCGCCAATTTGGATATGTGGAAAGGAGCAAAAACCCACATCGAGTCGCCCTGGGCTGCATCACCCATGCTCATATCGGCATCCTGCGCGCTGCCATCAAAGCCGGACATTTGTGTAGGAGCAGATTCTTGACCACCAAATGACGGAATCGCTTGTGCGGATGAAGGCTCGGTGGGTGCCGGGGCACCCCCGCCATTGATCTGCTGGTTGAGGATTTCGACTTGTTCGAAAAGCCATCTCGAGAAATCGAGGGCCTGTGTGTCGCCTTCACCGAGACCGCCGAGAAGATCATTTGAAAGTTCGCCAGCGATCTGTTCCTGAGTCTTGCCATTCGCCAGCATCAAGATCACATAATCGGTCAAGGCTGAGTCGTCGCCACCATCGGAGCTCCAACCCATCTCGACCAGCTTCGGCGGAATGACATGACCCAGCGCCTCAGCGAGGGGGGTTCCTGCAGTGACCATTGTAGTCATGATGCAAGCGCACGAGTGCTGAAAAGCGACCTATGAGTGACACAGACGTAGGCGAGGAAATGTAGGAGGGACGGCACGGGGGATCGTAGAACGCCGCGCCACTGAACCCAGAGAGCGCTATTGAGACGATTCACTAGTTTATATAGTAAATTTCGCGAAGCCAAAGATTGTCCTGAATCGGAGGCTGCACAGGATAAAGGGAAAGGCCGAGGGGAGGGGAGGGATGTTTTGGGGAGAGATCTTGGTATCCGTCGCAGGAACTTTGCTTCGCCGATGATGAAAGTCGCGCGCCACATTAGTCACGTGCTAGGTACAACTTGTGGCGTAGCGGCCAACTGGCGGGTTTTGCTGCGAAATGCTCGATGGGAAAGATGCTGGACGTTTAGCTGCATTCACTTCACCTCAATGCTTCTGACATGTGGTGTCATCTCTCAATCTGCTGTCATATATGGTCATATGCTGTTTCCATTCCAGTAATACATGGACCAAGAGCTCGACAATCTAAGCGGGATCCACACTCCATACCAGTTATTCAGCTCCATCAGATGCGCGATACTGCATTACTCAGCCAGCTCTCTGGCTTCGCGTTCCATTCCCATTCAAGAGAATCTTAGGGTCGGCGGTCATCACCATAATTTGTTTAGCAATGCGCGGGGTTAAATGGTCATTCACAGGCGGAGCAATCAAATGAGAAACTCAACCAAGCGAGCGGGGGCCTTGCATCTCGGCTGACAGGTAACGTTAGTTAGTCGATCCTATTCTTATGGGACTCATAGACTTGTAGTGCATGACTAGTAGTCTACTTATCAGCGAGCATATTTTATTAATGCATTTCTGCGCCGTGGCTTTGCAAAGGTTGCCTATAACATTACTCTTCCGCTTCCCTCTCGAAGCCTTTGCCCTGGCACCATGCTTGAATATCTTGTTGGCCAGATGAGCCCCATGAAGGCATCCGCTTGCCTTGTGGGGATCTTCTTGATTGCTTGTCTCGTCCGTAAGATCCAGGTGTCTTTGGAAGTCTCTCGACTGGGCCTAAGGGGCCCCCGCATCCGGTTCCGACTGCCATACGGTGTGTCTATACTAACGTCCCCGAATACTACCACCGTCACCAGCACGCCATTTCACAATAATGATAGGCTAACTTATTTATCCCCAGCTCTCGATAACGTCTACGGCTATGTGATGGCAAATAGTAGAGGTGAGGATCTCACTCACTGGCAGAATCTCATGGAAACTGCCCATGGCGCGTCAGCCATCGATCATGTCCAAACCGCCGAACTGGATTTCGGAATTTCAAATCGAGCTATTGTCACCAAGGACCCCGAGAACATCAGAGCTTTACTCACCGGCCAGTTCGCGGACTATGGCAAAGGAGAGCCTTTTCATCACGACTGGAAGGAGTTCTTGGGCGACAGTATCTTCGTCACAGATGGCGAACTTTGGTCCCGTTCGCGTCAACTTATCCGGCCCATGTTCACCAGGGACCGCATCGTGGACACAGAAATCTTCGAGCATCACGTTCAACACCTTATCCCTCTCCTGGCTGGAACCAAGAGCAACAAGGTCGTCGACGTGACTCCCCTGTTCCTTCGATACACCCTAGACGCTGCCACAGCCTATCTCTTCGGCGAAGGCACCAACAGCCTGCAGAATCCAGCCACCAGCTTCGCCGAAGCCTTCAGCTACGTACAACATCGGCAAAGCGAGATCTTCTGCTACGGGTATGTACACTCCTCTAATTCCCTTCCTGCCAACTTCGTTCTCTATAGACATCAACTAATAACCGCTCAATCAGCCCCTTCAATCCCATCCTCTCCCGTACCAAGTTTCGACAAGAGCTTAAGAAAATGAACGACTTCATGGCACCCTTCATCCAGCGGGCTTTATCCCTTAGCCCCGAAGAACTTGACAAATCACTCTCAAAGCAAGAAACGTTTATCCACGCCCTGGCACGCTTCACCAGAGACCCCAAGGTCATTCGAGATCAACTAACGGCCATCTTGCTCGCTGGGCGCGACACAACCGCCACGACTCTCGCTTTCTGTTTCTTCGAGCTAGCCCGCAACCCCTCCGTAGTTGCAGCCCTCCGATCTGAAATCGCCTCCCGCCTCGGTCTAGGCCCATCCGGCCGCAAACCCACTTACACCGACCTCAAGGACATGAAATATCTCACTGCCGTGCTTAACGAAACGAACCGCCTCTATCCTGTTGTTCCCTTCAACGTTCGCTACGCTCTGAAAGATACGACCCTCCCCCGCGGCGGTGGCGCCGATGGCAACGGGCCTGTAGGTATTCGTGCCAACACGCGGATGATCTACTCGACCATGATGATGCAGAGGGATCCGGCGCACTACCCGCTCCCTGGAAGTAAGAACTACTTTGATCCTGGCAAGTGGGTCCCGGAGAGATGGATGGGTGATTGGGTGCCGAAACCGTGGCATTTCATTCCGTTTAATGGTGGACCTAGAATCTGTCTGGGACAGCAGTTCGCTATGATTGAGATGGGGTATACGGTGGTGAGAATCTTGCAGGTATATGAGTCGCTAAGGGCTATGCCGCCAGCCGGGAAGGACAAGGTCGAGGATCCGATGCTGAGATTCAAAATTACTTTAAACCCGGGAAGCGAGTTGAATTGTGTTTTTGAGTGATGGTAAGGACAAGTTGAAAGGTAGGGGTGATTACAAAAATCAAGCGGGGAATGGAGGAACTGATTGTTACGGTAGTCCATGCTTTTTTTTAGTTGGTAAATATTGTTCTATGGAATGGGAGTCTTTATATGTACTCGTAATGATTCTTCATCCCACTGATCAGTTACTCGGCACATTCCCTATCCTCCTTTTGACTTCATTCACATTTACTATAACTAAACTAATCTGCACTTTCCCTACTACTCTTCCATCATCTCAATAAAGTTCAAATCCATCATTTTCAGGATCGTCCTGCCTGCAATCTCAACATCTTGGACTGTAATAATATGGAAGATTTACTACTCCAGCTTCATCGGATAATACCCATTTGTATAGAATGTACAGAGCACTAATCAACTCTATTTACTATGGAGTACCAGGTACTCTTCACTCCGAAGAAAAAGAAAAAGAATCAACCGAATTCACATTGCTGGTGATCATGGTGGCGATGATGCCGGTAAGGCTCAGGTGTATGTGGGTGAAATATAGTATACTATATTTATTCCAAGCTGATCGTCGACTGGAGGTGCTATTCAGATAACTTAGTAGTCTCTGCTAGTACTACTATTGACTCAGTCTCCTAGCATTCTCCGAACGGGCTTGAGAAAAGTCTCCGGTCTGACGACTTATCAATTGACCTACTTAGTATATATAAGGACTTGCCAGTTCCCATGAAGGGGGAAATAATTGTGGTAAACTGACTAGTAGCTTGATTCTTTCTGATTAAGCCTTGGTGTTATCGTTCATTCTGCTCATCTCTCAAATCTTCAGAGACAGCAACATCACGATTAATCACGATGAATATGGTCTACAATGACACATCGATGATTCAACAAAAGCCAGTATTATTAATTAAGAGCTACCAACGCCGATTGAAGTCCAATTAAGCCACAGCACATGGTGCATTTGGCGAGCTTGTCTGACTCGCCTCTTTCGTGATCCAACGCCGAACCTATGCTGTACATAGCTCATGAAGATCTCTATCATAAACAAGGAAGAAGGAAAGGGGCCATTCATTCATATACACTTCGTCGTAATCTCGTGTGTTAGTAGTGGTCGTGTCATGTTGCATAACTGTCGTCGAGTAGCGGTGCTGATAATTCATAGACCTAATCAATGTTTCAATGGTCGTTGCGCAGGGTTTCAGAGCATGATCAGTGTGCTACCAAGCACACACATCACATTAATGCCAATGTGAATCTTATCTGGTCTTCCCGCAGCATTCACATTTGGGGCTGCATGATTGGTCGAAGAAGGAGAGAGATGCCTGGCCGTAGTGGAGCTACCAGAATGAGTGGTGGCACTAGTCTTACCAGCAGCACTCGTCGAGGAAACAGTCAAGCTTGGCGTTCTCGAGCGGGATTTAGAGGCGGAGAGGGAGGATGAAGCCGGCCGAGAGCGCGAGGAGGATGATATATACTGGGAAGAAGACTATGAAAAGGAGTACCGATTTAGCGTGAGATCTTGAAGGCTGTATAAAAGGGTGTTAAGGGAAATGCTCACTCACAGAAGCCGCACTAGGCGGCTGGGTTTGCCGAGAACCAGAATAGGTCCAGCCAGCAGGCAGCGATGTCGATGTTGCTGTCGCAACCCAAGGCCAAACATCTGGAGTCACAAAGCTGGATGTTTCACGATGAGTGCCGCTCCAAGGGATAGGAATACTGGCAACCGTCGACGTCACAGTGGGTGCTGACTCAATTGAGGTCATCGTATCGGCCCCAATGTTCCCATTAACCTGACCCCCATTGGCAGTAATTGACGTCCAGTCCCCGCTCTCATCACCATATGAGTATGACGAGCCGGTCGAATAATCCGTCACTTTGAGAGACTTCAAATACATTGTGTAAGGTCCGGCGCTGTAATCGGTCGTGCCACCAGCCCAATCTAAGACAAAAATCAGCATATTGCACACCAGTGGAGAGGAATATTGCAGTGACAAGGGGCTAGACACTCACCGATTGTGCCCTGAGGGTTACTGGGATCGCCACCGGCCCAGATTCCTACTTTGACCACCATGGGGGTTTGGGGGTACTGATTCGTATCAGCAGTGTCCGGCGTAAGCACTCTGACCGTTGTGCCATCGATTTGCCAGACGATTTGCTTGCTCGTCCAGTCCACGGTATAGGTGTGAAAGTCGTCATGGTTCCCAGGATCATTATGGGTAGCTCCACGATTGTAACTACTGGTATCTCCTTTGCCGAAATAGTTGGTTTGCACAAGCTGGTCGTTCCCTCCAAGCCATTCCCAGTCGATCTCATCCAAATCATCTGACTGCAGAACGGCACTGCTGACAATACCCGTTCCGGGGGCAGCCTTAATCACGTATTCCACGTGCCCAAGCATGATGTACCAGTTGGACTGGATCAATGGCGCATCGCCCTGCTCAGCCACGGTGAATTCGGCACCATCTTTACCATAGGTCGGGCTACCGGTTGCAGTAAAGTCGGAAGAACTACCTTGGGTGAAGTCATAGCTCGCTGATTTCCCAAGTGCGGGATCCGCGGGACATGCTTTAGAAGTATTAGCTGCGCATGCCCATCACACGCACGATTTGGACACTTACATTTTTTCAATGGGTTACAATTGGTGTATGTCTGCGCTGCAACTAAGCTGGCGCTGGAAAGGAGAGCGATTGTCGAGCTAACAAGCGGAAGTCTCATGGTGGGAATAAGATATCCCGGCGATAATTCACTTTATCAACGTCGCAGGTTGAGAGGGCGGACACAGTTCAATAACCGGCTTATTGTGTATCTTTCTTTTTGACGGAGGAGAGGAGGGGCCAAGAATCGAGGTGCGAGGGTTATTGATCAGAAGGATGGGCAGGTACTGAGGATCAATACTGGGTTAATGCAAGACCACTTTGGCCGGCGAAGTCACGGCGCAGGAAGGTGCCGGTGGTGATTGAGAGGAGTCAAACTCGAGGCAGCCATCATTCACAAGCCAAGAGTAGGGTCGCAATCGTATTTAAGGCACAGACGAAATTAGTTGCGGAGGAAGGTGCAAATCTCGCCGTCCGTCTGGACAGCTCCGAGTCCTCGTACCCCATCAGACGGTAGGACTGATGGTTTTCTTGGTCCAGCCTCCTCGCTTTTGCTGTTGCTCCATCTCGGGCCCGTCATCGCCATTATGCCCGATCGGGCAGTCACCGGGTCGCTCATGGGGCCTCATCACCGCCCCATCCGCCCCGCTGATTGGCTTGGGAAGTTCGACCATGACTGTACCTTACGTAGAGGATGCGACGTAGGAAATGAGTTTGAATGATCTCTCTGTATAGAGTATGGCGCAGGCAAAAGTATTATCCCGAAGGAATGAGATGGACCCATTAGCTTGGTGGTAATTCAAGCTATATGGTTACTACTATGTAGCTTACAATGTTATCTGGCCGTGGTACAGCTTTATCAATGAATGATCTAACATTCCCAGCGGCAAGCACCCACTTTCCACCATAGTGTTTTTGCTTACTTGAAAAGGCAACAAGCTGGCTACCCGTCAGTCCAAACCACAATACGTACCAATATAATAATAATGACCATCACTTGACACCTGTCGCATTTCGTTAAACGGCAGATAAGTACTCCGTACTCTGTAATACACTCAGAAATTTCGTCCTCCCCATCATGTCATATGCGGCCATCAACTGCTCAAGGACAGCGGTCGCGCAGCTTTTAGGCTTTTTCCAACAATAGCATCAACCGCCACCTGAGTTGGAGCCGATCACCGCCCGTCCGCTCCACCCCCAGCCTCCTCTTTTTCATCTGCACCTATCAGGCTATCCGGACCCTGGTGATCTAGAATTATAACACAACAATATCTCTTTAATAAGAAATAGCTACTGGCTAGTCTGTTTGGCACGCAATACTCCGGTCTGCTTCAAGCTTTGCTCGTGGGCCGCTACCAGTTCCAATTCATGCTTACGCTCCACACACCACGGGAAGCAGCTCACGTAGAGCAAAATCCTGTTCACCAGCAATTCCTTGTCTTATCAATTCAGGTGAGACAACCCCTGTCTACCCAAGCCTTGTCCACGGATAGTATCTGAGCCCCCATGGTTCATTGACAACCCCCGCTTAGCCGCTGATATCAGAGCGATGCTGTGGCTTGAGGACAGCGAAGTATATGTGTCTTCTGGGGAACCGTTGTAATAAATTGACTTTCACCCAAATACAATGTAATCCAAGTTCCAGGCTCGAGCATCAGCTACGAACAGTATGACATCGTTGCAAACTCCAAGTAACTGTGCCAGCACCTAGAGCTCGATTACTGAGTCTAATCCAGGATATCCCAACCGTGGGAATTGTCACTTTACATATGCTCCTCATAGGGTGTAGAATCATTTCGGGTCAGGCAGGGCCATTTATAGCTAGTTATCAGGTAACCACTCCTAATCTTGATATAATTCTCGAGAGATCCTCTTTACTTCAGCGACCTGCAGGTGCCATTCGGAATTAAAAACCCGACTACGGAGCACTTCCGATCTGCTTATGGAGACGCACCTTCACTGCGCCCTTTAATGCGGGTCAACTGTGATGTCTGCATGCTCAAATTAGTAGTGCTCTAGGTTGGTATTCTCTTCAATCGGCCCATTTGAAAATGAGGCCGATAGTAGCATACTTTGTATATATATCCACTAAAAGCCTGAAGCGCTCCGACTCGTTGTCATTAGCGAAAACTAAATATATTGCGATTGATTATAGCCTGCCGCCTTTGACTGTCTGAAGGGTACTTTTATATAAATTCAGTATATTTTGATTCGATACCGTCATACTTAAGTTCCAATAACTCGGATACGGTTAGTGCCACTTTATATATATATATCTTTGAAGACTTCAAGCAGCATACTGCATTTACCCAACATCTTAGCATTGCACGTTAACTGATCCTCGAAAGTTGCCCAGGAGCAGAAATATAAGCCAATAAATCAAACGGAAAATATGGCAAAGGAAACATGGCCCCTTCAAGTGGACCTCATTATTGCTCAACAAAAGCAAATTTGTTGAACAGGTGTTGAGAATCTGCTCTAGCATGGTTACGCTGTTTTCTCTACCATCTCAGGGACCATTGACTAGTGCTGTGCCTTTGACAATCGCTCAGCTCGGTTAAC